AGATCCAGAAAATGGATTATTCCCCTTTATTCAGCTCTGGAGAGGCCACACCTTGAGTATTGTGTCCAGTTCTGCCCCTCCCCCCACTATAGAAAGGATGTGGACGCATTGGAGAGGGTCCAGCGGAGAGCAACCAAAATGATGAGAGGACTGGAGCTCATGACCTCCGAGGAGAGACTGAGGGATTTGGGTTTGTTTAGTCTGCAGAAGAGAAGAGTGAGGGGGGATGTGATAGCAGCCTTCAACTTCCTGAAGGAAGGTTCCAAAGAGGATGGAGAAACGCAAAACAAGGATCAATGGTCTCAAATTACAGTGGAAGAGGTCCAGGCTGGATATTAGTGTTCTTGCGGAAATTCAAGCGGCCAGTGTAGACAGCTGGCAAGTTTTTTTTGCGGAAAAACCTGCCAGTCTAGACGCAGCCGTATTGTTTATTCCCCTTTCCATAAGGGAACAGCTATAGCAGCAGAAGGCACCTTTATTGCAGTAGAATTGCACTATTCTAACTTAACTAGGCCAGCAAAGGGGCACAACTTTCTAGTGCAGACAAGGTCTCCATAGACCTATATGCTTCACTGCTAGTCACACAACCTGACCTCAGCTTCAAGCTGGCCTGAGCTGAAACAAGTCCAAAAACTCAAGCTCAACAACCTAGCACGGCTTCATGTGAACCCGCCCCACCCTAAACCCAAAAGGCAACCAGGAGCGTGGCTCCAGTGAACGAACTGAAAGTGAAGGCCCTATTTGCATAAAGTGAAAGCACCATCATTTCCACAGTCCTCAGTCTGAACAGAACAAAGCAAATCCCAGGCAGGGGCCAGGCCTGGAAGAGGGGGACTGGCTTTTGCTTGGCTGGCTGCAGCCTCAGGTGGGCTTCATGTTGCACACAGAACCGCTTCCCCCGGGAGCTGCTGAGCAAACCACTCTCTCCAGTTCAACAGGAGGCGCGAGGCCCTGCCTGCTGCAAATGGGGATGATTCAAGGCCAAACTTCTCCCCAAAAAATGTTCTGTTCAGAGGGAATCCAATTGTGTCCTGGGCCCCTCCCCACTGCCACTGTGCAGGTGACAGGCTGACGGTTCTGTTCTAGCCGGCACAATCCATCCTAGAAGCCATTAAGATTTAGTGGGATGTATCCCGTATGATGCCAACGCAACGGTAGCCTAGGCGTTAATTCCTTCATGGCAGCAGAAACTCACAGCCTCACTTCTGAAATACGGGCACACAGCTGGAACTGTGGCACCGCAGCGGGAGATACCTGGAGGCTGCTTCTGAAAGAGGAGCTGCCTCACAGAGGTCTAGGTACATTATGCATCAGTACAGATATGAATACAAGTATCAGACTTGATACCCGAACAATACCCCCCTTTACAGATAAGACTGCTGCTACTAGCTTACAGTTATAAACTGCATTTTACCCCAAAGTCCTTGACCCACACTGGCTCTCTCGCCTCTATTGGCAGACCCCTGTCCCCAATACACACCCACATATAGGAACAATCATTCCAAAGTAGCCACCTCTGGGGTGGAACATGGGTGTGTCACAGCAACAGCATACTTCAGTGCCAGAGAAGATGATGACACCATTCCCCCTCTCTGGCCCCTGACCTGCAGCTGACATCCCTAATTCCAAGGAACAATCCCATGGGATCTGTAACAAAGGCAAGTGGTAGGGACTGAGGGCCTTGATTTTGCAGGTCACCCAGAACAGCTGAGAAAAGGAGATTTTAGTCCTGTTGAGCATTAGGATTAAATTCATTTCTACGTGGAAGCCAAGCCCCTTCAGCCTGTTTCCAAAGCTCATCCCCAGGCACTTGGGTGACCCTATTGCTCCTTGTTGATGCAGGTTATCTCATGGAATTGCAGCACTTCGGCTCCCTTGGGCCTCCTCTGCCAGCTGGCTGGGTTACAACAGCTGCAGCCATCTGGCTCCTTTATCTCTGTCTGTCACACTGCTGGAAACCCCAGCAGGCTGGTTTGTTTGGATAAACGAGGCCAGGCCCTCCTAGCTGATGCACTGGAACTTATCGACCTACCATTCCGGGGCAGCTACCACGCTCCTCACCACCTCTGGCCAGCGACTCGGCTCTCTGCCGGCTGTCCTCACAGCGCTGCTGTCAGAAGGAAGAGAAGTGGCATGAGGGCACTTCCTGGGGCGTGCCAGGCATGTCGGAGGGGAAATGCTTTGGATGAGCAGGATTTCCTGGGCATGTGCAGGAGCTGGCTTGCCGTTTCAGCAGCTAGTGCGTTAAAGGGAGAGGGGGAACACAGAATCTTCTTAGGATGTAGCTACTCGGGGGACCGAGGTCTGGGCACCACCCTTAGTCCCCGCAGTACATCAAAGACCCCGTGTTCCCAGGCTGAACACACTCAGAAAGGAGCCCCTACCCCACAGCCTGCTCTCCAGATAGCCTGGCAATTACTGTCTCACGGGATACACGTGACAACGCCCCACAAAGCACACAGTGACCGGAAATGTGGGTCAGCTCCCTCTCTTGGCAGCTGAAAAACCTGAATCCAGCCCAGAGAGGTATCCAAACAGGGGGCTCTCCTGGACGGCTGGTTGGGAACCCCAGGGGAGCTGTGCACCCATCCAGCTCTGCCCGTTCCCAGTTTGCGGGCACGGACACTCAACCCCGTCCCACCCGATGCTACTCACCTGCCTCCTGCTCGGAGGCTGTGCAGCTGTCTCGCTCCCTCTCTCCTGTTTGTCTGCTGAGGATGTGTGACTAGACGGGAAGGTGCCAGGGCTGGGCTGGAGAACAGGCAGGTGTAGTAAAGTCCACCCAGCGTAATGCCACGGGGCGGGGGGGTAGGCTGTGGTTCTAGCAGGTGAACTTTGAGACCTTTCATTGTTGTCACTCTGGGAGGGAGCAGAGCCTTAGAAGGCAAACACGAGGGCTGGGCATGGGAGGATTTGCTGGGGTTACTCTGGAGAGGGATTGGAGCAGAGCTGAGAACACATGCCCTGCTCTGGCAGTACAGGCAGGGGCGGCAGATTTGTATAATTTTTGGTGGTGCCCCATTAGCCACACCCCCTGACCCCTGTTAACCACGCCCTCTGACCCCCATTAACCATGCCCCCTGACCCCCGTTAACCATGCCCCCTGACCCCCGTTACCCAGGCCTCTGGAGATAACACACTTGGGGCAAGATGGACACGTGACCAGAAGTAAAAGGTGTCATGTCATCCCTTTCGAAGGATTTTTCCCACCATCCTCCTACCAACAGGGATTAGTTTGGCCCCCACCAAACCCCCCTCATGCAACTATCCTGCAATTGCATTAACCCAAGGTGTGTGACATTAACTCGGGGGCAGAGAGCTGGGGAAAGTGTTCCCTCTAAGGCTATGTCTACACTCGTGCATTCTTGTGCAAGAACCCACAGAGTATTCACACTGTCCTGCTCTTGCGCAAGGAAATTTACAGTACGGCATGGTAAGAGAGGGCGTCTTGCACAAGAGCTACGCTCTTTTCTAACAGGTGTAAGCTCTCTTGCCAAGAGGGCAGTGTGGATGCTCGGCAGGGATTTCTTGCGCAAAAAACCCCTATGGCTAAAATGGGTGCTCTTGCGCAAAAGCACAGCTTGCACATGGCAGTGTGGACGTGTTCTTGTGCATGACTTCTTACACAAGAACCCTTGCGCAAGATGTTCTTGCGCAAGAAGCCGCCAGTGTAGACACAGCCTAAGAGTTTCCTCCCATGAGCAGAATGAATTTTGTGTTGTGCACCAGTACTGAGTTCATGTGGCTTGCTTGGATGTGCCACTGTGGCACCCAAGTTATTAATAAATATTTTATAAACCTTTACCTTTTCTCTCTGCTGCCATGTCTCCTCCCCTTGCTCCATCAGCTCCCCTGGTGCCTGCTGCCCCCCAACTCCTCACCTTTAAAACCTTCCTCTCTAAAAATTAGTTTGGTGTAATTTTCTTTGTGAGGAAAAATCTTTTCTTCTTTCCAATAAAATTATTGTTACTAGGCAAAAGATTTAAAAAAAAAGGCAAGGAAATTAAAATATTGCTGTAACCAATCTTGTGGTCCTGTCAAGGCTTTACTTGGCTGCTGAGGAGGGAAGATAAAAGTCTTGTATTTCTCTGCAGCAATTCGTGTTTGCAATTTATAAACTCCACTGACAGTCTGTGAAGATAGCCCAGTACAGTTGTTAACTTAAAGTTACAAGCTGCAGTACAAACCAAGGGCCTCTTAAGATAAAGCTATAAATAGTTGTAATGGTGAAGGTTGGCAAGCCAAGTGGTCTTCCTTCTCGGAATAATCTCATTGGGAATTATTTTTGTCAGAACAAATGCAGACACAAATTAGGGGCCCTCTTCTATGTTGATGAGATATTTAAAAGGCCTCGGATCAGTGGGTTCAGCTTTTGTACAGAAAGCCTTGGATTATCTGGTATAAAACTGAAATGTTGAATTTCCTGGCTTTTGTCGTAACCTTACTGTAATGTAATCTTCAAAAAGGAATGCATGTGAAAGTTGCCATGCTGAAGAGATTAATGCTGGAGTTGGGAAGAATTTCAACCAGTATTCTTGGGAAATGTCCATTCTCTTCAAGAAATCTAAGTAAAGTTAACACTTCTTCTCCATTAAAAGGTGTTGTTGGAATTTTAAGAATAGTAATTGAAATCTCTCCGTTGTTTCTCTGAAAATGTGTTCAGAATTTAACTTCTTTTGTGCCTGCTCCTCTTTCACTTTCCCTAGCAGTGGTCTATATTTAGCACTGCATCATCATTATAGTTGTCTTTGTACAAACCATTTGGAAGAGTGGCACTCAGTTTCATAAGCTGTCTTCAGGGGTGGCATAAAACAACTTACTTGAAGAGGGCTAGGGTTTGCTTTGCCTACCAAACTTTTTCAGTTTTGACATGGATACACATAGCAGCAGCAAAGAGCTATTTTTCCTAGGACTGTTTTTTTTTTTTTTTATCGTGAAAAATGTAAAAAACAACTAATAGTCTAGTAGCACCTTAAATACTAACAAAACATGTAGATGGTATCATGAGCTTTCATGGGCACAAGGAGGACGCGCGGGGGGGCCGGCAGGTGGGGGCCGGAGCCTGCTCCAGGCAGGCCCGGGGGAGAGACCCATCTCCAAATATTGGTGGAGCAGGGCCCCCGGCTCTGAATATTGCTGGACCATGGGCACCACGAGCCCATATAACTCGCTGCCCATGAATACAGGTGGCCATGCCGTACCCTGAAGGTATTTTCCATGTGCAGCAAGACAAAGATCAGCCCAAGTCCTCTGTCCCTGCTCGCTCCCAGCCCCTTCTTCCACTCCGAGAGCCAAAGGCAGGTTTCACAGGCTGGGACAATGTGAGTGTCTAAATCCCAGAACCATCTACTAAGATGGCCTGACACTGCCGCGCGTGCCATCTGCTCCTCTGCCTACCTGCCAGCGCTTCCGTGTCTGCACCAGGGGCCTGGAGATTAAAACAACCATCCCAAGCTGCACCAGCATCATCTTCAGCCTCCTATAGCGCTTCCTGAGAGCAGAGCGGGGGCAGGGAGAGAAGGAAAATTCAGCAAAGCAGGCCAGGCTGTGTGGACTAAGCGGTTACAGCTGTGTCTGTGGGGTTGGGTTGCTGTATAACCAATGGAACTATGCAGGCAGAAGCCCTGTCGTGGATGCAGTTATCCCAGTGTACTGGGCTTCCATCAGCATAGTTTATGCCAGGTTCCCCACCTATACTGGCACAGACACTCGGGTATCAGTGTCCCTGCATGCCTGGCCTCGGGGTTTGGCCGGTTTAGCTATCCCCATACGACTCTCAGCAAAACAGTGTGAGCACGGACAAAGCTTCAGTTTGCCATCTGAATTCATCTGGGTTGGAATTCCCAAGGGAGTTAGGCACCAGACTCCCAATGTAACTCAATGAGATTTAGGTACCTACCTCCCCACGGCACCTTTGCAAATCCCAGTCATTGCTCTTATCCATCTCCTGACTTCAAGGATTAACAACCAATTCTGCTAAAGTTTCTGCTTTAGGAGCAACAAGAGTCTGGTTAGTTATGACTCAGAAGGAAAGATCCTTCCTAAGGATACAGGAACCTTGTGGGGTTGGCCCCAGGGACAGGCGAACTTTTTAGCTGTTCCTATGCGAGGAAGGACAGACACAGGGCACATAAGACCCCATGCACCACAGGACTTAATGCCATATTTGAAATAATTTTCTAAGCACACAGATGGGCAAACAGGGCGAGAGTCCTCACGCTGTGCTGGCTTATGTGAGGACCACCCTTATAGCAGGTATTGAACTGGGAACCTCTAAAGCTAAAGCATAGGCTGCTACCACTTGAATTAAAGAGTCACAGCTCTAGAGCGGTGGTTGTATCTGCCCATGTCTTCGGTGGACTGACAGAGGGGGGCCCGGAGCACACACTCAGTGGCTGTGTCTACATTGGCATGAATTTCCGGAACTGCTTAAAACAGAATAGTTTTCGTTATAAGTATTTCCGGAAAAAGAGCGTCTACATTGGCAGGCTGCTTTTCCAGAAAAGCCCTTTTTCCGGAAAAGCATTTGTGGCCAATGTAGACGCGCTTTTCCGGAAAAGAGCCCCGATCGTCATTTTCGCGATCGGGGCTTTTTTCCGGAAAAGACTACTGGGCTGTCTACACTGGCCCTTTTCCGGAACAGTGTTCCGGAATAAGGACTTATGCCCGAGCGGGAGCAGAATAGTTTTTCCGGAATAGTGGCTGATTTTGTACAGTAGAGCATCGTTGCTTTTCCGGAAATTCAAGGGCCAGCGTAGACAGCTCGCAGCTTATTCCGGAAAAGCAGCTGATTTTCCGGAATAAGTGGCCCAGTGTAGACACAGCCAGTGGGTGGTACTTACACTTGCTTAAGAAACTCTGCTTCCACCTAGCAAGGAGGTTAGTTTGCCACGTGAGAACTGCTGTCGGGGTTGTCTCAATCATTGCGCTCTGAAGCCACGTTATACCACCCTGGGTAAAGGTTGGTCAAGCAGGGTGCCGCCCCTCGCATGGACAAGCCCACAAGGTGAGCCATTCGGACGGGCAGTGCACATCCTGTCCCCACCACCCCGCATGGGGGCACCGGGCAGGACTCTGAGTTACTGGATCTGTGCACGGCCCCCAGCAGATGCTTATGCTTAGAACTGGCCAACACATACAAGCATGGGTCTGGCCTTTGACCTCTGACCTTGCCTGATGACCCCGAAAATGAGCCTGGATGATCGTGACCTTCTGCCGGAAGATCTGGAATTGCCTGCGGCTGATGAGGCCTCGGATGTTCCGCTGGAGGGTGACAATGGCCCAGCTCTGCTTCTGGCTCCATCGTCTCTCCAGCAGCTGCTTGGCCTTCTCCTTCAGGAAGACCTGGGTTGAAGAAACAGCTGCTGACCTACAAGAAGCGGCAGTGTCCACAACAGACACGGGTGTTTACAACCCCTTAATGTAACCCAAGCCCCATGGAGCCGCTGCCGCCCATCCTGACACAGGCTCCCCACTGACATGAGTCATTGTTCTTAGATCAGGTGACACTTGGACTCTTCCAGGTCCTTTCTCTATTTAGGGAGGGCTGGAACCAGGCCAGATTAACTCTTCTGAGGGCCCAGGGCTATTAGATTTTGTCGAGCCCCCGAGGCTCTGGGCTGGGTCCAGAGCTTCAGCGTGCACGAGGGGGTGGTGGGTTGAGGCAGGGGGCCCAGGACAAGGGGTGAGGGCTCCAACTGGGGGTGCGGGCTCTGGGCTGGAGCTGAAGAGTTTGGGGTACAGGAGGGGGCTCCAGGCTGGGGCCAAGGAGTTAAGAGTGCAGGAGCAGGCTCAGGGAAGGAGCTGGGGGTGGGCGTGCTGATCTGAGAGGGAG